AACACACACACCCCCCACACACACAACGGACACACCCCCCCACACCCCAACACACACATGCACACACCCCACACATACACACACACACACCACAAATACACACACACCACACATACACACACACCACATACACACCCCCACCCACACATACACCCCCCACACACGCACACACACACACCACACACACACACACTCACACACACAATCTTCCTGTTCATTTGCTGTAATTCTTGTCCTCTGGACACTTTGCTTTTTCACTGATAAAAGCTTCCTGATGGGTAATTAGTTGCATGAGAGTGGACAGAGGAAACGCAGTTAGTATAGGACCACGGGGCTGACTAGTGAGCAAAAAGACATATCATATGAAACAAATTTTTAATTTTTATTTTACATATTTATACATAAAACTTTCAAGGAACCCTCTGAATCCAACAGAATGTTAATAGCACATCTAAAAATGAACTTCAGGTAGTCAACATTCACAAAATGTTGAAAACTGATTAAAATATACATATTAAGGAGAGCTACGACTTCACTACGAGGCAGGCATGTATTTCTGACTTGGATAGCACCGTCATTTCCGGTTCTTCTCGAAACTACAGTGAAGAGTGGGAGTGCTCAATGGCGCAACACTGCTCCAGCTCAAACTCTCTAAACAAATAAAACCAGGTTAAAACTACCCTCTCGGATTAACCATGACTTGTGATGGTGTAAGTACTGTACATTTCTGTAATAACTGTTTGTTAAAATGCCTGGAATTTAGTGGCACAAGTAAAAAACTAAAATAAATTAAGAAGCAGAGGCCAATCACTGGACAGTAAGCTTCGGACGTTATCAATGACTAAACACTGATACTTGTTTGTTCTGCGCCACCTTTAGCAACATTTTTACAACCACAGAAGCAAAATAAATTCTAGCTTGTCCTCTGGTTGGATGGCTTCTTTTCACTTCGCAGGCATTTTCTCTGCCATGTGCTTCTGCTGACTTTCAGCATGTCTGTAAAATTAATAATACAATTATTTAGTGCTAAGAAGAAAAGAAAGATCCAAACTGCCTTCTAATCAACAGGTAAAACATCCTCCAAACTAAGGTTCAGAGTCACTCATAATGAGAATCAGTAACAGTACTTTATTCAAACTGGCTTAACCTCTTCAATTTTTATATTCTGTGTATGATCTCTTTTATTTAAAAAGCCACTGGATTAAACTGAGACCTGTGGACGCCACCATTCCTGAGAAGAAAAGTGCTGTGTTTAAAAATGAAAAGAGGTATAATTCCTTCAACAAACATTTAATAAGCATCTTCCACTGCTCCTGGTGCTGGGAATTTGGTAGTGAACAAGGCAATAGGGTTTTTTTATTCTTGTGGAGCGTTTGTTCCAATGAGGAGAGACAGAAAAGCAACAAACAGCAAGCAAGGGAAGAGCAGACAGAAAATAAGTGCCAAGCACAGAGACAAAACAAGGTATCGTGCTAGAGAGTAACTAAGCAACTGGCTGATCTAGACACACACCTGGAGCCAGTGATCGAGGCTCACTCTGACAAAGGCTAATGTCTTCCTGACAAACGGTAGGCCTTTGTGGATGTAGAGGTGCTCCATGTTTGCCTAAGTCTCCCGCCCCCAATAATCCTAAAGGCATGCTCCTGGCATGGTGTAGGGGAGGGAGGGATGAGTTGTCTTTTTCATGCAGGCTCTGTTATGAGCTGTGTGCCCACAGTCAGGTCAACCCAGCAGCGGGATGGACCACAGAGACAGAGGGGAGGGATGGCCGAGCTGGTTACGCCACTTGAAGGGGCACAAATTAAATGTCTTTCCAGAGATTGGTGGGGTCTGAAGGCACAAAAGCCTGTGGTTTTGAAGGACTTTAAAAAATGATACATTTGGCAAAAGAAAAACATGTAAGGGTGTGGTTTCTAGCTGGAATCTGCAGTTCAGAGACAGTCTGTGTGTGTTGCCTGGACTTGGGTCCTCGGTAGGGTGAAGCTGAACTCGTGGGTTTTATGCAGGACGCCTCGTATCGATAGAGGGAAGACACACCGCAAACGCTTTCAGAAATAGGGAAGTGACTAAAGCTTCCTAGCCACATTCAGCAGCTCACAAATAAATGACAATATTCAGTGAACAACAGAACTCAGGAAAAAGCCACAATCGGCCCCTTCCCCCATTCCTTAAAAGAAAAAAAAAAAAATCCCCTTTAGCAGACCATTCCATGACCCTCTCCATGTGAGCAAAAGAACATAGATTGTTTTCATAAAACACCTCATGTGCCTCACTTAAGCAAATTCAGCTCAAATATTTTGATGTCCAGCAACCCTACAGGACACAGCAGAACTGCCCCACAGGGTTTCCAAGGAGCGGGTGGTGGATTCCAACTGCTGACCTTTTGGTTAGCGGCCATAGCACTTAACCACTGTGCCACCAGGGCTCCGTAAGATTCCAGTGTAGCTAATTAAATTACACAGTTCCTACAGCAGCTTGTTAATGACATGTACATAAGTGTGTGTGTGTGTCTCTGTGTGTGTGTGTGTGTACAGTGAGGGGTCTGTGAGAAAGAAGGAAAGATAATACTGAATGTTGGGTGTTATTCTGAGGCATACATACAAGGGTGAATGTCATTAAAATTTTCAACAGAGGAGAGGAAGGTTTTCAGTCCACAGAACTAAAAGGTTCTTATCAACTATTTATATGGAAATCCTTATTGGGATTTGTTTCCAGTCAACCTCCTTCAATACTTTTTTTTTAAATTGTGGTAAATAGACATTTAACAAAACATTTGGCACTTAACAATCTTCACATGTACAGTTCAGTGACATTATGTTCATCATGTTGGGCAACGATGACCCTTACTCGTTACCAAATCATACCATCACCCTTAACAGAGGCCCTTAACAGTACCCCGAAGGCACTGAGGCCTCCTTTCCTCCCCCTCCCCTTGGCAGCCACTAATAAGCTTTGGTCTCATACACTTGCCTGTTGTAGATGTCTCACGTAAGTGGGATCATACAGTGTTTCTCCTTCTGTGACCGACTTATCTTACTCAGCGTGTTCCCAAGGTCCATCCATTTGTAGCGTGCATCAGGACTTCATCTCTCTCTATGGCTAAGTAATACCAATATTCATTACTGAGGACCTACTGTGTACCTGTGCGAGGCTCTGGGGACACAGCAATGAATGACGTGGTGTCTCATCTGCTTTCAGGGAGCTTACGGCCAGGTGGGGAGACGGTCAGCCCACAACACAGCCCGGTGCGACTCAGCTCCATGTGGGAGGGATGAGATGTTGCAAGGAACACAGAGAAGAACTCAGTCTTGGCAGGTCAGGGAGGACTCCCCCCCAAAACGTTACCTAACCTAGTGGTGTTCAATTTTCACTGTGCATTGTTGTTGTTGTTAGGTGCTGTCGAGTGGGTTCCAGCTCATAGCAACCCTATATACGCAGAACGAAACACTGCCCACTCCTGCACCATCCTCACAATCATTGTTCTGTTTGAGCCTATCATTGCAGCCACCGTGTCAATCCTTCTCGTTGAGAGTCTTCCTCTTTTTCGCTGACCCTCTACTCTATCAAGCATGATTTCCTTCTCCGGGGACTGGTCCTTCCTGATAACATGTCCGAAGTATGTGAGACGTAGTCTCACCATCCTTGCTTCTAAGGAGCGTTCTGGCTGTGCTTCTTCCAAGACAGATTTGTTCATTCTTTTGGCAGTCCATGGTATACTCAATATTCTTTGCCAATACCACAATTCAAAGGCCTCAATTCTTCTTCTGTCTTCCTTATTCATTGTCCAGCTTTCATATGCTTATGAGGCGATTGAAAACACCATGGCTTGGGTCAGGCGCACCTTAGTCCTTAAAGTGACATCTTTGCTTTTTAACACTTCAAAGATATCCTTTGCAGCTGATTTGCCCAGCGCAATGTGTCTTTTGATTTCTTGACTGCTGCTTCCATGGGTGTTGATTGTGGATCCCAGTAAAATGAAATCCTTGACAACTTCAATCTTTTCTCTATTTATCATGATGTTGTTTATTGGCTGAGTTGTGAATTTTTGTTTTATGTTGAGGTGTAATCCACACTAAGGGCTGCGGTCTTTGATCTTCATCAGCAAGTGCTTCAAGTCCTCTTCGATTTCAGCAAGCAAGGTTGTGTCATCTGCATAACGCAGGTTGTTACTGAGTCTTCCTCTAATTCTGATGCTGCGTTTTTCATATAGTCCAGCTTCTCAGATTATTTGCTCAGCATACAGATTGAACAGGTATGGTGAAAGGATACAACCCTGACACACCTTTCCTAACTTTAAACCACGCAGTATCCTCTTGTTCTGTTCAAACGACTGCCTCAGGGTCTAAGTACAGGTTCCTCATGAGCACAATTAAGTGTTCTGGAATTCCCATTCTTCGCAACGTTATCCATAACTTGTTATGATCCACACAGTCCAATGCCTTTGCATAGTCAATAAAACACGTTTAAATATCTTTCTGGTATTCTCTACTTTCAGCCAGGATCCATCTGACATCAGCAATGATATCCCTTGTTCCATGCCCTCTTCTGAATCCGGCTTGAACTTCTGGCAGTTCCCTGTCAATGTACTGCTACAACCACTTTTGAATGATCTTCGGCAAAATTTTACTTGTGTGGGATATTAACGATACTGTTCGATAATTTCCACATTCTGTTGGATCACCTTTCTTTAGAAGGGGTACAAATATGGCTGTGCATTAGAATTAAAAAATCCTGGAGAGCTTTATAAAATTATGATGTCTAGGCCCCACCACAGAATAATTAAATCAGAATCTCTGGGGGTGGAACCCAGACATCAGTTGTTTTTTTTTTCTCAATGAGAAATAATTTATAACATCTTTATGAAGATGGGGGAGGGGGAAACAAAGTCTGTGGAAGTCACCAGTGAGGGAACAAAAGAACACAGAAAGGGAGTGTAGGGGTTCTGGAGGCTTCCCTCCTTCAGGGGTTTTCCTGACAACAACAGCCGTCCTTACTGAGCATTTGCTCTTCTGGGCGCCGTGGGTGCAACCCTCCATGTGTATCATTTCATTCGGTCTTCACAATAGCCTTGGGGCATCCGTGCTGGTATCATCCTCACTCTCCAGAGGAGGAAACTGAAGACCAGCCTGGCTTGTTGTCCATCTTAGCCCCCTGGAAGGTGACCTCTGGATGCAGCAGAATTTCTCAGGGGTTCCCAGCACCACCCAGTGCCTGGCTCATAGAAGGCGCTCGTAAGATGTGTTGACAGAGGGAGGGGGAGCCAGGCGTGAACGCAGACCTCTGACTGCAAAGCCTGTACTCTTAGCCATTTGCCATCATTCCCCCTCAGACATTCCAGCCTCTCCTCCCCACATCTCGCCAGAGCAGCAGAAGAAATTCAGGAAGCACTCACTCTGGGAGGCTAAGTGCCCACCACCACAGCTTGCTGTCGGTCTCACTGACTAGCAAGGGGCTACTCTACTCTGTGTTCTTGTCCCTTTGAAATGCTTCCTCTGCCCAGTGAGGCTGTGATGCGTTTGAGGGCGGGGGCCACAGCCCCGCAGAGACTTTCTGGTGGTGATGGATACGGACTTTTAGTGTTGTAAGGATATCTCTTCCAAAAGCAACACTGTATCTTTGTGTTTTCTATTAACACAGCCTTTTCTTTTTCTCAAATTTCACATCAACATTCTTCAGCCTGCTCCTGGCATTTGGTACAGTAGCGCGTGAGGGAAATCATACGTGAAGGGGGAGGCCATCTAGTAGGTAATTTTTTTTGCCTTTTTCTTTTCTTCTCCTAAATTTTATTGATTATGTTGTTGTTGTTGAGAATATACACAGCAAAATATACACCAATTCAACTGTTTCCACATGTACACTTTAGTGACACTGATTACATTCTTCAAGTAGTACAATCATTCTCACACTCCTTTTCTGAGCTGTTCCTCATTTACATAAACTCACTGCCCCCTAAAGTTTCTATCGAATCTTTCTAGTGGCTATTGACACTCAGATCCCATACAGATAGTTCTTAAAAGAGCATAATGCTCAAGACAGGCCTTTTTTACTAGTTAAGCTAAATTACTGCTCGTTTTGAGATGACTTCAGGGGATATTTTTGTTTTAAGGTTTAAAGATTATCTCAGGGCAATAGTTTCAGGGGTTCATCCACCCTCTATGGCTCCAGAAAGTCTAGAGTCCATGATAATTTGAAATTATGTTCTATATTTCCCCCCTTTTGATCAGGATTCTCCTATCAAATCTTTGACCAAAATGTTCAGTAATGGTAGCCAGGCACCATCCAATTCTGGTCTTATGACAAAGGAGGCAGTTGTTCATGGAGGCAGTTAGCCACACATTACATATCCTCCTCCTCTTCCTGACTCTCCTTCTTCCTCTGTTGCTCCAGGTGAATGGAGTCCAATTGTTGAGCCTTGGACGGCCACTTAGAAGCTTTTAAGACTCCAGGCACTACACAGTGAACTAGGAGGTAGAACAGAAGCACTGAACAGATTATTGGCCAATTAATTGGGGTGCTCCATGAAACCACAACCATAAACCTCCACACCAAGGACCCAAATCCCATGAGGTCTTTGGCTGAACATAAGCAACCTCAGCACCTACATTGTTTTTTCTATCATCGTTGTAAATGTACCTATCACACAACTTTTGCCAGTTCAACTTTTTATAAGTGTACAAGTTATTGACAGCAATTACAATAATCGGCTGTGCAACCCTGCCCTTAATCAATGAGATTTTTCCATCACCATTAACCTTCCTTTTCCCCCTCCCTCCCACCCCTGGTAACCACTAATAAACTTTGTTCTCTGTACATTTGCCTTTTCTTGTCTTTTTATATAAGTGAAGTTATACAATATTGGTCCTTTTGTAATCACAAAATTTTGTTCAGCATAATGTCTTCAAGCTCCATCCATACTATAGCATGTATGAAGACTTCATTTCTCCTACTGGCTGAGTAGTATTCCATTGTATGTAGGATCATATCATCTGGGAATAGAGACAATTTCACTTCTTCTTTTCCAATCTGGATACCTTTTACTTCTTTTTCTTGTCTTATCGCTCTGGCTAGGACTTCTAATACAATATTGAATAGAAGTGGTGAGAGAGGACATCCTTGTCTTGTTCCCGATTTCAAGGAGAAAGCTCTCAGTCTTTCTCCACAAAGTATAATGTTGGCTGTTGGCTTTTCATATATGCCCTGAATCATACTGAGGAATTTCTCTTCTATTCCAATATTCTCTAGGGTTTTCATAAAGAAAATGTGGTGCATTATGTTGATTCATTTTCTAATGTTGAACCATCCCTGCATTCCTGGAATAAATCCCATTTGGTCACAGTGTAGGACTCTTTTAATACACTACTGGATTCTGTTCGCTAATATTTTGTTGAGGGCTTTTGCATCTATATTCACGAGAGATACTGGCTGTAGTTGTAGTCTTTTTTTCTTGTGGTGTCTTTGTCTGGTTTGGGTATCAGGGTTATGTTTCCTTCATAGAATGAATAAGGGAGTATTCCTTCCTTCTCTATCTTTCTGGTGTCAATTCTTCTCTAAATGTTTGGTAGCAGACCTCAGTTTTTATAAAGCTTCCCAGGTGATGCCAATGTGCACGCAGCCCAAGTTGATAACTCCTGATCTGAACTGACACTTGGAATGGTAGGACTTGGACAGGCAAAGAGAACAGGCCAACAAAGTTTCCCAGCAGTCCCAGTGGCCATGGTCTCAGGCTTCTGGGATGTGGCTGCAGGACTCTGGGACTGCTATCTTTAAGGACTTTTAAATATCCTCAGGTCCCCCCATGAGCAAAGTTACTTTTCTACATCAGGAATGATATAGGGGCTTCTCCCCACCAACTAGAAGCCTTGCAGGGATAATGTGTCCCTTCCCATTGCTCCAACATCTTTAAATCAGCAAGTCCTCTCCTTTCAGCCCCATGGCCTTGCTGCCCTGTTTCCCATGATCACACCCTCTGAAAGGTATAAAAAACACACTGTGAGCCTAAGAGATAGCCTGACGTTTTGAGAGAGGGGGAGCCGACTCTCAGTATCTCCCTTGGAATGAGGAATATCAACAACACTTTGAGGGGCAGAGAAAAGGTCTGTGCTATCCCAGACAAGTCACCGAGTTTAGAAAAGACTCAGGTCCTAGCTGTATATTTCACCCCCGTGTTCCATTATCTTAATGTATGCAAATTTCTTAGACCAACAAAAAGGGATCTGTCTCTGGTCGTCAGTGCAGTACCTGGACACAGCTGTAGATGGTGATAGTCTTACCTGAGTGCTGTCGTGATATTTCAGATGCAGGCAAATATGCTAAGAGAGTAAAAGAAAGCTACTACTTTTTTTTTCCCTGTTAGGGACAAGGCACCATAATATTTAAAGCATATAAAAAAGAGTGCTACCTATGGATCTTAAAAAAAAAAAATCCTAAACATCATTTCGCAGCATTTATTTTGGCACCAAAACAATTTTCATACCGTTGGCATCATTAGAACCATTTCTGCCCAGTTTTACACACTGAGAGGAGGTCCTGTGTGAGGTGCTGACAGGATTCTCACTACACGTGTTTCGAGCTTCTGGGGTGGTTCTAAATCATGTGTGACAAACCGTGTTCTCTCTTTCCTTAGGGAGCATTGTACTCTCTGAACACCATTCTGGGATTAATGGTAATTGTCACCTCCTGGTTTAAAGACTTCATGGACTATCTTAAAGAGGGTTCCAGAGTAAGGAATAAGTATGAAGTAATGGAGTGCTTACAGTGTGTCAAGTACTTTACATACCTACAGCGACCGGCTTTTCTGCAAAGGAAGCTGCTGAGAAACGCAGGCGCTTTACCGCGTTGGCCTAGCTTCCTTGTCCCCTGGGGAGGGAGCATTCTTTACAGAGAGGCAGCTGGAGCCAAGCCCAATTAGAAATGCAAGTCCTGGAGTGTCCCCGTGGCGAGGACAACCTGGTGGCACTGGTGCTGTGGAGACATGCTGGTGTCCCTGCCTTCTAGGCCTGGCCGAGGTGACCAAGAGTCGGGCACGTACCAGCCTGTGAGCTCTGTGACACGCACATGAGGCTGCTCATGCTCTGGAAACAGGCCAGCATGGAGGCCTGAGGGCTTAGGGCCTGCTGCCCGGGCACAGTGTTCAGGACGAAGTCTCAGGCCAGAACCTGGACCTGATTTAGATGGGGGTGTAAGATGTTCTCATGCATGGACAACCCATCACAAGAGGACAGTGGTTGCTAAAAAACATTGCATTTAGTAAGGAGGAATTGTGGTTACTTCTCTATCTGAAGAGCTGGGGCCAGCAGGACTGGGTGAGTTAGCTGGGGTTAGAGAAGCGGCTCTCCAGTGCCAGCTCTTGCCCTGATCTGAAACCCCAGGCCCTCCCGGGCTTGGTTTGCCCTTAGGAAAGGGGAAACCGTGCTGACCTGGTCAAGTCTTCGATGTCCACCAGCATGGCATCCTGCTCTGTGTGCAGTTCATCTCGGATGAGAAGCAGCTGGACCAACTCTTCATTCAAGCCTGGGGCAAAGAAAAGGGTGTTTAGATAAAACTGCACCCAAGTCAGATGTATGAGGAGTCCCTGGGTGGTACAAACTGTGAAGTGCCGGGTAAATGCTGGGCTACTAACCAAAAGCTTGGAGGTTTGAACCCACCCAGAGGTGCCTCAGAAGAAAGGCCTGGTGACCTGCTTCTGAAAGGTCGCAGCTTTGAGAAACCCTAAGGAGCACAGTGCGGCTCTGTACGCTCGGGATATCCACGAGTCGGAATCGACTTGACGGCAACTGGTTTAGTTTTGGTTTGGATATACATAACACTACGCCAACAACTAAACTAACAGGTGAGTTCTCTGTGTCAAAAGTTAGACTTCTTCTATTAGCTCTGAACCAGCCCACGCGAAGCCATTGATTTGAGAGACGTGACTAGTACGCACAGCTGGGAAGGCACTGGGAGAAAAGGAGTAAAGCCAGAAGTATTTCTAACGACTCTGCATCACCCCATCAAGACGGGAAAAGAAATGGCTAGCTGTTAGAAAAGTAACTGGTTAGAAAAAGCTGGAGTTTGTTCTGAAGAAATGTGAACAAAAAACTCTGGAGCATATTCGGTGTCCCACCCTTCATCTGAGCGTCAGAGCGCCCCGCAGCGCTACATCAGACGCCAGCTGTAGACAAAGGCACGTCTGGGGCCCTCAAAGGCTCCCCACAGCCCCAGTGAAGGAGATCTCTGCAGGTAGTTCTAGGAAAAAGTATTATCTAGAGCTATAGGAAAGCCAGATTGGGGGAACAGTCAGATGTGTAAAACCTGAAGCAATAACCCCTGAAATCTCTGGACAGCTAGGTGCCAAGGGAAATTGTCATTAGGTCTTACACCTGCGGAGTCCCCGCGTGGTGCAAACTGTTCAGGTGCATGGTTGCTAACCAAAAGGCTGGAGGTTCAAGCTCATCTAGAGTGCCTCAGAAGAAAGGCCTGGTGATCTACTTCCAAAAAAATCAGCCACTGAAAACCCTAGGGAGCACAGTTCTAGTCTGACACATGGGGTTGACGTGAGTCAGATCTGACTCGACAGTGAACTGGTTGTTTGTTCTTAGACTTGGACGAAAACATACGCATGTGGAAAAGTTTCTAATCCTCCTGAAATCAGTGCACTGGGTTAGTCTGGCCCTTGTCCCTAGAAAATATGAACAAGCAAAAGCACTTGCTTTTTCTCCTCAGAGGAGCTAAGAACTAAAACTGCTAGGTCCAGACACACAGGGAGAACACTGGGCTAGCAAGCGCTCTGAGCAGGGAAGCAAAAGAAAGGAAGGGGGGTATTCAGACAGGCCCCTTGGAAATGCTTTTAGACGGCCTGACTTCAAATAATGCATTTATCTGCCTTCAGTTCAGACGAGTTTTCAACTTAAAAAAAAGAGAGAAGAAATTATACAAAAAGGTCTACAATTTCATCTACTCCTGAAAAGGACGAGATGGCAATTTCATTATTTAAAAGGCTGTGGAAGATGTTTCAGTGGTAAAATACCAGAAAGCCTTTTAAATTCTCGAAAGACTAACAATCCTAGTAATTTCTTCTCAACTGAAATTAAAATGTAGTTGTAGAATGTTTACAAGATCCCGTTAATCTATGGTTTCTTAATTAAAATGTTACACTCTCTTGATCTTGAAACAACACTGGATGTACGGACTTGGCACCAACAACATCCAATCTAGTGTTTCCAATGTGCTCCTTGGAGAAGCCTCTTACGTGAGAACCATCTACAGAGGGCCTCAGGGCATAGGAACTTACTATTCCCATAGGAAGTTTTAAACTTTTTATTACAAAAGCTTTCAAACTGATACAAAAGCAAAGGGTAGTTTAATGAATCCCCGTGTAGCCAACCAGCTTCAACAGTTATCAACTCACGCTCAATCTTCATTCATATCTCTCTCCTCCTATCGGGTTATCTTAACACAAGTTCCAGACATCACAGTGTTTCATCTATAAAGGCTTCACTATGTATCTCTTTTTTTAAAATTAACATAACCACAATCCCTTTATGGGGAAGAAGCACATCTGGGATGCTCAAAGGCTTCCCACAGCCCCAGGGAAGCCGCCTCTCAGCAGATTACTCTAGGAAAAAGCATTATCTTAAGATATTGGAAATCTAGATTTGGGGAATAGTCAGATGTATAAGACCTAAGTAAATAAATAGATAAAGTAAGTAAATACCTAAAATAAATCAATCGATCTGTAATCAAACATCCAGTCAGTGTTCAGATTTCCCTGAATGGCTCCGAAATGTGTTTTTGTTTGTTTGCTTACAGTAGGTTTGTCTGAATGCATTTGGCCAACATGTCTCTTGCTTTTAATTTGTAAATCCACACAATTTTATAGAATCACAGATTCCAGAGGCTGGAGGGATAGTGAATTCATCTGGCCTAATAACATCATCAGAGCCCTGCTCGGCTGCTAACCAAAAGGTTCAAATCCACCAGCCACTCCTGGGAAGCCCAACGGGGCAGTTCTACTCTGTCCTGTAGGGTTGTTATGGGTCAGAACTGATTCGACAGCAACAGGTTTATGGTTTAATCACACTGTCCGGAGTCCGTAGGTTGTACAAACTGTTAATGTGCTTAGCTGAGAGGTTGGAGGTTTGAGTCCACTCAGAAGTACCTTGGAAGAAAGACCTGGCAATCTACTTCTGACACACCAGTCACTTGAAACCCTACAGAGCACAGTTCTACTCTGACACACATGGGACTGTCATGAGTAGGAGCTGACTTGATGGCAACTGGTTTAACCATGTTGCCTAAGTGAGAATGTTCTCTTTCATCGGGCCGAACGACCACCCACCCTCTGCATGACCAATCACCTCTAGGAGCACCACTCACCACACCCTCTGGACACTTCTGTTAGAGGCCCTTCCTTATTCTGGGGGAAAAAGGCCCATACTTTGTCACCCCGTAATTTTAATGGTCACATACACATCCACCTCCTGTAATCCCATGAAATACGTCAAATCTGACTTGACGATGATACCTAAAATGAATTTATATACAAGTGAAGTCAAGAGCTTAGTTGTATAATAAATGACTTGTAAATACTGAATTTTATTCTAGAAACTGACGCTGAATGCCAAATATGCCAGGCACTGTGCTAGGAGCTGGGGACTTAGGCTGAATAGAAAGTACCTGAAACCCTTCTGAGTCTTAAAAAATTCTGAAAGCTTCTGAACATTTTACAGTAAAAAACCCGGAGCCTTGTGATTCTCTTCCTTTCCTTCTGGGCGCACAGGAGGCGTCCGATGAAACATTGTAGAAAGGAAATGAATCCAGAAAGTAGCCACATTGTGTTTTACACTTACTATCCCGTTTCAAGCCCGTCTCACACTGCCGCATTGTATCTTACACTTACTGTCCCATTGCAAGCCCGTCTCACACTTACTTTCTATCTGGGAATGGAGGTCATTGACTATCACTTGTAGCTGTCCGATGGTCATGTCCCTCAGGTCAGTGGGTTTCAAACTTCTCTTCATCAGGCATTCACTTATATGAGGCAAGTGTGGCAGCTAAAGACACAAAGAGGAAGGAACGGAGGTGTTGAACAGAGCGGCAGACGTCCTGAACGTCAGACCCAGTGTTTTCTCAAAAGCCCCACTCTTATTCACTCACTTCAATGCAAGTTCTGTGTTTAAAAGATTTCCCAGGTTGTGACTTGCCCAACGTGGGGTCCTGCATACACCCATCACAGATCACGGAGTCCAAAGTTCTCTGACGGGTCTTTAACATGGGCTGTGACAACTGTGAGTTATTACAGCCACACGTGAATGACCAGGGAACTCCGATCCCATCAACGGCATGGACGATCACGTCAGCTAGTCTTTACTAATTTACACCATGCTACGAGCACCGTGCAATGAGGTTTTTGTGCTTTATGTCACTGAATCCTCACAACTGTGCTCTGACACAGGCGTTATCATTAGCCCCATTTTATAGATGAGAAAACTGACACTTAAGTAACTTGCCCAGGGCTCCAGAGCCAGTCAATTGCAGAGCTAGGACTTAGAACCACAGAGTCCATGGCTCTGAACCACTACTCATACTGTCTCGAGAGGTGGGAATGGGGGCTCCAGCAATACTGAGTTTGCCACAACCGATAGGTTCTTAACCCAAGGTTGCTTTAAAGGAATCTAAATATTCCAATAATAGTTAATATTGCCCCTGAGAAATACAGCAGCTATGAATCAAGAGTTTAGTTTTGTGAAATCTGTTAGTGATACACTAGGAAGGAAAAAGAAACAAAATTATTTCTCAACGGCAGTACTTTTGAAGCACTGTCTCGGAGAAACCCAGGTTTGCATAATTCTGGGAAAGGACTGTAGCAGCCTCAACCATCAGCAGCCACCAAACCCACGCCTGCTCTCCAGCCTTTGCTGCTTACAAGATCAGCGACGGGAGACTTTTTCCTGTTCTGTTTTTCCACTTCTACTTGCATTTTAGCCATTGGTTTGGCCATGGCGAGGGCCATTTTGGCTTCGGCTTGCAACTTCTTTTGCCTTGTGAGGAAGTCCATGTCATCCAGGGACTCGGATTCTTCTTCAGTTGTGTCTTTATCGGAATACGAAGAACTCTGTTTGCTCTGCGAAGGGAAAGAGAGCAGCCCTGAGCCTTCCAGGCCAGTTTTCACCCTCAGAAGATGGGCTGCGTTGCATTCCCCAAGCCCTCTCTCGGAGTGGCTGAGAGTTCCCATCACTGACTCCACCTGCTGCTTGATTGGATCCACATGAATCTCAAATAACACAAAAAAGATACTTTACTTCCTCAGCATCAATCACAGACTCAGATTTTCGTATAAAGAGAAAGCGTAATACGATTAATAACGGGCAAAATATATTTATGATACACTTGAAACAGGTCTTTGATTCTTGGCCTCAAAACTTCCTGAGGTGACCAGACCAAAATGCTGAACCCAGAGCTAAGGTGACAAGTTACACCACTGAGTAGACGGGATTTTAGGACTCCAGTGAAGTCCTGGGTATTGCACTGTACGGTTTCCTGTTTGCTGGTCTTTGGTAAGAAAGGCATAGATGAACCTCACAGAGAGGAAACAATTCTAGGAAAAAGCACCCGTCATTATGAGGCCAACGTTTGCAATACGCATCAAAGCAATGACTAAAGGGTGCTTCACGCAGAGTCCCGCTGGCCTCACTGGGCAAGCTCTCTGTGTGCCAGCCTTCCCGTGGCCCCCCTCCCTTTCCTGTGAGTTCTACTGCTAGTTTGTACTCACACTTCTAAGCCCAATGGGGAGGGAATGGTAATTAGCATATTTTTTCTATGTAATTTTTTAGGGTATGTCTGATTTATGGCTTAATATATGGTAGCAGTTAAAGTTAGCTTTAACCAGTCCTCTGTGTTCTTACTGTATCCTCAGTGTATCAGATAAGTTTGATTGTATTGCATGCATAAGTCTGGTTTTTCAAACACTGTCAAATTTTGGAAGCATGGAATTTCAAGAGACGTTTGTTTTTTAACCTCTGCAGTGTCTGTTCCCAACTAACAACAGAAAAGAAGCTGTGACCAGGAGCGTGTCCCACCGAGCTTTGGTCTGTACCTTACTGGACTCACCATGGGCGACAAGGGGGTGTCCAGGCTCGTTTCTGTCTTGCTGTCGTCAGCATCGCTGTCCTTGTCGCTGCCGCTGTCATTGACGAAGCATATCTGCAGGTTCATCCCGCTCTGTAGCCTGGACAGACAAACAGGACACTCATTCCACTCGGCCATTTGTTATCTGCTTGCAGCACACAGAACTGTCTGGTTTTGCTAATAAAAAGCAGTTTATGTATTCTTGGCATGGGGGAGTGAGTGACCGATATTACTCCCAACATATAAATGACAACACTTATTAGATCTCCTAATATTCTGTTGGAGCCCTGGTGGCGCAGTGGTTAAGAGCTCGGCTGCTAATCAAAAGGTCGGCAATTCGAATCCACCAGCCGCTCCTTGGAAACCCTATGGGGCAGTTCTACTCTGTCCTATGCGGTCATTATGAGTTGGAATCAACTCTACGGCAACGGGTTTGGTTTTGGTTTTGACATCCTATTAAGGAGCCCTGGGGGCACAGTAGTTACGTAAGTGCTCGGCTGCTAACTGAAAGGTCGGCAGTTGGAACTCACCAGCCACTTCACAGAAGGATGTGGCAGTCTGTTTCCACAAAGATTACACCCTTGGAAACCCTATGGGGTAGTTCTACTCAGTCCCTATAGGGTCCCTATGAGTTGGAATCGATTTGACGGCACACAACAACAACATCCTATTAGTTTTCTCTAAACTAATGTTAAGCCACAAATAATTTAAGGCCATGTATTACAGCTCTCAGCACAGTATCAAACACACGGCTGGCGCACAGTGAAGACGTGCTGAGTCGCTGAGTTTGTCGGTGGCGATGAGTGGGGTCCTTCCCACATAACGCTGCCTGGCAGCCATCTAGCGCTCTGTCCCGGGGGACCACCCAAAGCAGCTCACTACAGCCAGCACCTCAGGGCTACCGCTCTCTATAAAAAGACTCCTTTTTACCCCCTTCCCCCAAATAGATAGAACACGATCATCTGAAGGAAACTTTTATTTAGGGCATTTGACAAACGTGAACATAGGAAGCTCATTCGTGACATTACAAAAGTTCACCCTAGAGAAACATAAGCCGAGACCTCAGAAAGGCACCACCTTAACACACTGCAAGATCCCAAGGCCGTGTGGAGCATACAGACCGTTTACAGACAGAGGCCTCCTGGGAGCCCATTATGCTTGTGGCAAACCTTGAACCTCCAGGAGAGACGCTGCGCAGAGTGTAGTCACCACAGGTAACCTGGCTGTGTATCTGCTGTACATGGGACCAGACTGCAGATCTGACTCTTTGTCCTAACCTTCTTTTGAAGCTGAACGCATGTCAATACTGTTCTGCAATGAGGAGCTTTTTAAAAAGTAATTTTCTTAGTACCTCTAACAGCCCCAGTCCCCTGTAAGCGTAAACGAAGAAAAGGCAAAGGAGGCCCCTGGGCAACCCGAGATCCTAAGGAGGCTTAGCCAGGTCCGGGCAGAGGACACAGGATTTGCTGGGGCATTCTTCAGGGTCACTAGGAGTCAGATCAACTCGAAGGCAGTGGGTTTTTGGTTTTATTATTACTATCACAGGGGAAAATGAGAAGAGCAACTTGTCTGATATTTGACATTTGCATTTGATTTTTTTTTATTCCAGTGGGTAGGGATGCTTTGTAGAAATTCCTCAGGTGACTCACGCAATGTGCTTCTCTGATCGAAAACAATACAGAGCCCAGAAAAAGAAAATCTACTCAGTTAACACAGGCATCATTCAGCATTGTTGTGGGTATGTGCTGCCACCTATTGTTAAGTTCTATGATTACTGAAAGTTCCAGATTTCTCCCCTCTGGACAGAACCGGGCTGGGCTTGGTTTTAAGGGAATTCAAGGGAAGCCAGGCCCAGAGCTGGGGGTTCTGCTGTGATCAGCTCAGGCTGCTTCAAGTCTGCTGCACTTAGGTTCTGAATCCTCACCTCTTCCTCCAGGCACAGTACTCAGCCTCTATGAACCATGCTTTCCTCATCTGTAAAGTGGGGTGAATAGTACCCAACGCAATGCTTTGTAGGAAGGATTAAAAGAGACGAGGAGAGCGTGGCCCAGGACAGGTGCTCTATGCACGCTAATGATCCCCCCTTCTCCAGTTACTGAAGGCCTCCTAAAAGGAACGCAGCTTTCGAGCGGATGTGACTTTGTAAAGGGACCTCTAAAGCCACTTACTCTAACACCTCTCACTGGTCACAGTGATTCCTGCTGCACGGCGTGCGCTCAGGCTACCTTTAACTGTCAGACAGCTTGTCATTCTCTGGAGCCAGAATTTGCCTCTTTTTAACTTTTTTCCATTGGATTTTTTTTTTTTTTTTTTTGCCTGGAGAACTCTAATACGTTCAGGTTACCCATATAATTAAGTCATAAAATTTTAATATCTGTAGATGGTCTTAAAAAACAAAACAGATCATCCCACTATAATAATAATAGTCAAGATCTACACACTGGAAGACAGCGGGAAAGAAAACGGTTTGAAAATTAAAAACGGACCCATTTTAGAGGCTAACCTAATTTGGATCTTGTATTACATAGAATTTTCTATATTTTTTTAAACATATAAAGTCTTGAAAAGAAGTGCCTGGCCACTGGATACACAGATTATGAAAATATAAAATAACTCACAAAAGTAAGATTTGAAAACGTCCAAAGATAAATATTTTCACTCTGAGGAAAAGTTTGATCATAAATTCTGTTGTTCTGCCCTCAAGCTAACCTTTCTATGAAGAATTAGCCCAGACCTGAATCAGCCATCCCATACAGCGTTTCTAACTCAGGAAAGGCAAAGAGAAAAAAGGGAGGGATATAGCAGTCGCGGTGAAATGAAAAAACGCCTCAGGTAGAAGTTCAGAAAATCGCCTTAGGACCACATTATCACCGCAGGGAACTGCACAGAGCTGCTCACCGGTGGGACCTGTAATTCCTCACAGCGGTGATCACCAAGACTGTCACCCTCAGGAAAAGGAGATTATACGACATACCAGCTGATGGTTCACAAGGGGTTTTAGTAAAGGCGTCTTAAAACGGGCTCGGGTTTCAAGAAGGATTTGTTTGCTGTTAGCCTTTAATCGGGTTTTAAGATGATACGGTTTTGGGGTGAAACCCAACCAGCTCCCAAGCATCGGCCTGAGAGGGTGAGCATGGACACCTTGCTCTGCTGGAGGCCTCTGTGCCGCAGGGTCGGAGAGCACATAACCGCTGTCTGGGACCCTTCCTGCCCTGGGATGCACGGCTGACCTCTGGGAAGTGGGGCTCCCAGGCGGCAGCTCTGCCCTGGCCTCCATCCCTCACACTGCAGCTATCTGGCCCCACTTATAACCAGGCCCTCGACTCTCAGGCTGCAGGGGTCCAATCTGTCTGGATCTTTCAAGCACAGTCAGAAGTGAAAACAAATCATTATCCTCATCTTGTTAATTAGAGAGAGGATTATTTCGAGGTATCCGACTCATGGCTACTTGGTATTTCCGGTGGTATTTAGCAGAGCGCTGTGTGCAAAGAGGCTGGTTGAAGTCAGCCTTGCTTGTCAGTCCTATTTCTGAAAGGTCTGTGTCCTGGTTATCCCAGAAATCTATTTTCCCTTATGCACCACACTGCTGCCTGGAGCTAACGGCTAGGTGCAGCCAGGGTCTGCAGAGAGGGCGCTCCGGACGGCAAAGGCTCAGGAATCATGGAGAGATAAAAATAGGTCTGTCTTCTGGACATCATGGTGTGAGCCATGTGGCTTTGTGTGACAGGGCCTACGTCCAGGAGGGGTGGGGGGCAGCGACAAGGGCCACTTGGCATTTACAGTGACTTAGAAAAGGCTCGTGCTGACTGCCAGCTCCTATTACCCAGGGGTATGATTAAAATATGCATGGAATTGAGAGCATAGCAGAGATGAAAAGTTCTTAACTACCAAGTGGATATCTCAAAAATCTAGCCAAGTAGTAATATGATCTGGTATAAACCTACCACTTGTTTGTTTGTTTTTTAATACAGGGACAAGACCCGTTTATTTGCTGAGAGGAACAACCCCATGGTCGTAAAGGCTGCTGCCGACATCTGGCGGGGCAGCAGCTGCTGTGAATCTGGCCTTTGTCCTTGGACTTGGGTAATGGTGACTGGGATTAAACTGGCTTGAGGCCAGCTCTGAACCCCAGAGCTGTTCTGAGGTTTGCGATTTTAGAAAGGGGGTTCTCTGAGCATCAGTTTAGGATATCAGCCTGTAGGGGCAGATGTGTGAGATTCTTTGGTTTTTATCCCTCCCCACCCTGCCTCGGTTCACTTTACTTGAACTGTTGCAGTGAACTTCAGCTTCAAAGTGTGTTCACTTACGTTCTCTCCTTGGGCCACACAACCACCTGTGGGGGCAGGTGACATCACCTTCAGATTACAGGCAGGTGACTGCTACCCAGAGAAGCCGAGTGACAGGCTCTGGGTCTGTGACAGCCTCTCCCTGAATCTGCAGCCTCCCTAACGTGACTCTGGAGCGTCTTCCATCGAGAGGTGGAGTCTATTTCCCTACCCCTCGCCCTGGTGGCACAGTGGTTAACAGCTCAGCTGCTAAACCAAAAGGTCGGCAGTTCGAATTCACCAGCTGCTCCCTGAAACCCTATGGGGCAGTTCTACTCTGTCCTTCAGGGTTGCTATGAGTCCGAATCGACTCGACACCAACAGGCTTGTGCACTGGCCTATTGGCTCGTTCTGGCCAGCAGAGTGCAGAGGAAGTGACCTGTTCCCGAGACTCCTCAAGAGACCTTCCCAATCGTCTGTCCCCAGGAACCCTGCCACTGCCCTCACAACAAGTCCAGGCTAGCCTGCCGGGATGAGGGACATTGCAGGGACAGCACAGCTGGCAGGTGTCCCAACTGAAACCCCAGACAGGTGAGAGAGCCAGCCAAGAGCAGCAAAGGCACCTAGCCGACCTGCAGCTGACCGCTGAATCATGAGGAAGCCCCTCTGGGCCCGGCCGACCTCCTGAGCAGAAATAGATGTTACCTGTTGTATGCACTGGTGTGGGCGGTTTTTTCTTACGCATCCTCACTGTGGCCACAGACGTTGTTAGCGGCTGTGGAGTCTGACTCACGGCGACCCCATGCACAATGGAACAAAACCACAACTGGCTGCT